ATCAGTTGTTCTGGAATTTTGTATAGTTTTAAGATATTTAAGGCACTGTAAATCGTCAATTAGAATTTTAATTTCATAGTTTGTCAATTCCAAAAAATTGACACATCATCTCAGAATTTTGTAAAATAAAGTTCTCTCCAAAAAAAATATGAATCCTTGATACGGGATCTCCAAGACAATTACAACAGTCGTAAACAACTTCTTCGAAATTATTAATGGATCACTGTGAAATTCAGCGTGATTTTTTGGTTATCCTGTACCCAAAATTTGTCTGTTCATCCTCAGCAAAAATTTGATTTCATCACAAAATTTTGCCAAATAAACTCTTTGAAATATAGACAGATGATGATAATAAGCCCCCGTAATTGTAGTTTAGTAATCCACCATTGTGTTCAACTTTATGTATTTGATTTTTGAAAAAAAATCAAAATTTAACAAATTTTGATTTTTGAAAAAAAAAATCAAAATTTAACAAATTTCCACTATTTATCTTGGAAATTAGAAAATCAGTTGTTCCGGAAATTTGTATTTTTAAGATATTTAAGGCACTGTAAATCGTCAATAGAATTTTAATTCTATAGTTTGTCAATTCCAAAAAATTGACACATCATCTCAAAATTTTGTAAAATAAAGTTCTCTCCAAAAAAAATGTGAATTCTTGATACGGGATCTCCGAGACAATTACAACAGTCGTAAACTACTTCTTCGAAATTATTAATAGATCACTGTGAAATTCAGCGTGATTTTTTGGTTATCTTGAACCCAAATTTTGCCTGTTCATCCTCAGCAAAAATTTGACTTCATCACAAAATTTTGCCAAATAAACTCTTTGAAATATAGACAGATGATGATAATAAGCCCCCGTAATTATAGTTTAGTAATCCACCATTGTGTTCAACTTTATGTATTTAATTTTTGAAAAAAAAAAAAAATCAAAATTTAACAAATCTCCACTATTTATCTTGGAAACTAGAAAATCAGTTGTTCTGGAATTTTGTATACTTTTAAGATATTTAAGGCACTGTAAATCGTCAATTAGAATTTTAATTTTATAGTCTGTCAATTCCAAAAAATTGACACATCATCTCAAAATTTTGTAAAATAAAGTTCTCTCCAAAAAAAATATGAATCCTTGATACGGGATCTCCGAGACAATTACAACAGTCGTAAACTACTTGTTTGAAATGATTAATATATCATTGTGTAATTCAGCGTGATTTTTTGCTCATCTTGTACTCAAAATTTGCCTGTTCATCCTCACCAAAAATCTGACGTCATCTCAAAATCTAATTTTGATAAATCTCCACCATTTATATCTTGGAAACTAGAAAATCAGTTGTCCTGGAATTTTGTATAGTTTTAACATATTTAAGGCACTGTAAATCGTCAATTCCAAAAATTTGAATACATCTCAAAATTAAATCAAGTTCACTCAAAAAAAAAAAAAAAACGGTTGTAAACTACTTCTTCAAACTATTAAATACATTATTGTGAGAGTCTGCGTAATGTTTTATCCTTTAAGTACTCAAAATTGGTCTGTACATCAAAACCAAAAATTTGATAACGTCATTTCAATATTTTGCCAAGTAAACTGTTTAAAAAATAAATGTTAATTATTATTTTATCTATAATTTATTAATCCACATTTATTATTAACTTTATATTTTTAATTACTTGAAAAAAAGTCAAAATTTTACAATTTATCTTATTACAAACTAGAAAATCAGTTGTTTTGAAATTTTGCATAGCTTTAAGGTATTTAAGGCTTTGTAAATCATCGATGTGAATTTCATAGTTCATCCATTCCAAAAATTTGACGATGTCATATTAAAATTTTGCAAAGTAAGTTCTCTCCAAAAAAATTTTGGTTTCTTTGTAAGGGTTATCTGAGACAATTACAACATTCGTAAACCACTTCTTCGAAATTATTAAATAAACTATTGTGAAATTCTGCGCGATCTTTTGATTATTCTGTACCCAAAATTTGCTTACTCACTCTCACCAAAAAACTGACCATCTCAAAATTGTACCAAGTAAATTTTTTGAAAAATAGATTATCATAATAAGCTCCCGTATCTACAGTTTAGTGATCCACTTGTATTTTTAGCTTTATTTAATTAAAAAAAAAGGCTTTACAACAAAACTTTACTCTTTATCTTGGAAATTAGAAAATTAGTTGTTTGAGATTTTGCATAGCTGTAAGATATTTACGGCATTGTAAATCGCCAGTCAGAGTTTGATAATTCGTTCACTCCAAAAATGTGATGAGGTCATCTTGAAATTTTTCAAAATGAAGTCCACTCCAAAAAATTAGGTTTCTTTCTAAGACATATTCCAGGCAATTAAAACACTAGTAAACTGTTTCTTCGAAATTAATAATAGATTATTGTGAAATTCTGCGCGATCTTTTGGTTATCCTATACATAAAATTTGCCTGTTCATCTTCACCAAAAATCTGGCGTAATCTCAAAATTTCGCCAAATAAACTCTTTTTAAAATACTGATTATAACCATAAGCTCCCGTAACTATACATAGTTTAGTAATCCACACTTATTTTCAACTTTATTTATTTAATTTTTGAAAAAAAAATCCAAATTTGACAAACCTTCACTATTTTATCCTAGAAACTAGAAAATCTGTTGTTTTGGAATTTTGTATACTTTTGAGGTATTTAAGACACTGTAAATCGTCAATCACAATTTTAAATTTCTAGTTCGTAAATTCCAAAAATTTGATGACATCGTCTCAAAAATTTGCAAAATCAAGTTCACTGCAAAAAAATATATGAATTCTTGATAAGGAATGTCTTAGACAATTACAACAGCTGTAAACTACTTCTTTGAAACTATTAAATAGATTATTGTGAAATTCTGCAAATCTTTTCGTTAATTCTGTACCCAAAATTTATCTGTTCATCCTCAGCAAAAATTTGATGACGGCATCCCAAAATTTTGCCAAGTAAATTATTTGAAAAACACATGTTAATAATAAGTTCCCGTATCTATACTTTATTAATCCACATTTATTTTTAACTTTATGTATTTAACTTCTTGAAAAAACGTAAAAATTTTACTATTTATCTTATTAGAAACTAGAAAGTAAGTTGTTTTGAAATTTTGCATAGCTTTAAGGTATTTAAGGCATTGTAAATCGTCGATCTGAATTTGATAGTTCGTCCACCCCAAAAATTTTGCAACGTAAGTTCACTCGAAAAAAATTTTGGTTTCTTTGTAAGGGTTAACATTCGTAAATAAACTATTGTGAAATTCTGGTCGATATTTTGATTATTCTGCCAAATAAACTATTTGAAATACAGATGATAATAACTCCCGTAACTATACATAGTTTAGTAATCCACACTTATTTTCAACTTTATTTATTTCATTTTGAAAAAAAAAAGAAAATCAAAATTTGACAAATCTTCACTATTTTATCTTAGAAAATAGAAAATCAGATGTTCTGGAATTTTTTATGGTTTTAAGATATCCAAGGCATGTAATTTGTCAATCAGAACTTTAATTTTATAGTTCGTCAATTCCAAAAATTTGGATTCATCTCAAAATTTTGCGAAATAAAGTTCACTCCAAAAAAAAAGAACGGTCATAAACTACTTCTTCGAAACTATTAAACAGATTATAATGAAATTCTGCGTAATCTTTTGATTATCCTATAAGTACTCCAAATTTGTCTGTTCATCATCACCAAAAATTTGATAACGTCATTTCAAAATTGCTAATTATTATTATATTACCTAAAATTTATTAATTCACAGTTATTTTTAAGTTTATTTTTTGAAATATAAAAAAAAGTCAAAATTTTACTATGTATCTTACAAACTAGAAAATCGATTGTTTTGAAATTTTGCATAGGTTTAAAGTATTTAAGGATTGAAAAATAGCCATTCAAAATTTTAATGTTTGTAAAATAAATTTCCACGAAAAAACAATTAGATTATCCTGAAATTCTTCGTAATGCGTATACGTATTATTCTACTAAACAAAAATTTTGCCCGTTAACCTTCATAAAAAAATTGATGTCATCTGAGAATTTGACCAAGTAAAACTGTTCTTTCCAAATATGTGGTGTATTAATTCACCTTTATTTTTAAATTTACTTCTTCAATTCTTTGAAACTCAAAATTTTACGATACATCTTAAACTACAAAATCGATAAATTCTGGTTAATAATTGTCTACATTTCTTTAAAAAAAATTTGTTGCTGCGCAAAACATGTTTCAAAATTTTAAGCAATCAAGATTTTTTTATTTATGCGAAATTTGAAACTGATCTGTCACAAAACTGTAATTAATACGTCGAAATTATTTTTAAAAAACAGGGAGAAACAGTCTGCTCCCAATTCGAAATTTTTAACGTATGCAAAGCAGTGTTTTAAATATGTAACTATAAAATAATAATTATATAACTAATAAAAAAACTAGGTCAAAATTTTGAATAGATTGTGAAAACATGACAATAAAAAATGAAAATTAAAAAAAACGAAGGTTAATAAATAAAAATCAACTTTTATCGAAAATACATTCGAAATGCCAAATTTAAAAAGAATTGTCCAACTCTGTTACCTTTTGTTACAACTGCAATTTATAAGGAAACTTTCATAAATAAAAATGTTTTACGAGGAGATACAGAATGACAAACTTTCTAAGAATCATACAACTTTGTTACCTTTGTTACAACTGTTGGTTTTTCTGTTAAAATCCAAGCTAATAATAGCACCGAACACGAAGTTTATATTTCTCTTCCGAACTTTGCAACATCCAAACTTCGACACAATCCGCCACATCCGGTCAAAACTTCCCTCATATCACAAATACGCATCCCGATCTAAATTAAAAATCCCGTTATTTGTTTTTCGAAAATTAAAACCGGCCACCCTTTCATTAAAATCGATCTGTAGCGATAATTCCGGCACATTCATCATCCCCTTCGAACCTCGTCCCATGACAATACCGTCCCTCAAACAATACAAAAACAGATTTTACCGATAAGTCCTGGCATCCTTACACCAGATATGTAGGTAAAACAATTCCCTGTGCTCAACATTCTCGATCAATCCTAAAGGTAGATGGTAATGATTGTCGCCGACTTGCAGATACAGCCTATAATTTGTTATGACTACGAGCCCATCCACCGTCTTCCCGTGGTGGAAGACGCCCTCTCCGTCCAGCAACCTGAATGGGAGGTTCAGCGACTTGTCTTCTGGTGGCAGCTGGTACATCTGGATGGTCTGGACGTGGCATATTGAGTTGGGCTGGTCAGTGTTGTCCATCACCTACCACGAAACAGTCAAACGTTAGAATGATGCGTGTTGGATTAGTGTCAAGGTGAGACACGGGCAAACAATTGAAGATTTATAGCTGTTACCTAACGTGTTTCATCTTGAGGTGGTTGTTTTATAATAATAACGGGAATGTTGCTGTTTGAATATTTTACGACATACTGTCAATTTCTTAGAGGTTAAAAAAATGGTGCGTTGCCATGTCTACATTCATTATCGATCACACGGGACATAGGTGAAGTCATTAAAAGTGTATGCCGAGAAATAGACAAACAAAAACGTGTTACAGTATTCACCGCCGTAGTAAATAAGTCTTGAATCCAACGTAACATGAATAAGACACACACAACGACACAGAACACACAAATAAAATGAAATTTATTCGCACCTAAAAACCAATTTAACAAAAAAACCCGACTTTGCGATAATCACAGTTTGATAAATAAATACAGATTTGTAGTTTTTTTTTATCATGGAGTACACCTTGGGTAAACTCAGACAACCAACGGGAATTTATCTGAAATAATGAGTGCGATCTGAGCAGTTCCTCTCTTATAGGGGTCTCAATTATGCGAAGAAACTATTTTGAATACGATGAATACGAGATTCAAAAATTAGGTATGAATTAATTAACGGAATAAGTGAGAATCATTTCCTCGGTTATTACCGGAAGTTAAAAATTATTCAAAGGAATCGATTTCACAGTCGGGTTGTCGAATCAAGTATAATTACTTCATTATCTTTGGATTGAGAATCGTTAAATCACTTTTATTTGAGTTTGAAGTTTGTGCTGAAAGGGAAAATATTTTTAGTGCGGATTTTGGTATTTCAAGTGATTATGAAATTGATTTTTGAGACAACTTCTGACGACAAATTGGGCTGCTATTAAAAAAGGACCTAAATTGCAGAGATGTTTTATATTTTAAATATAAAACAAAGAACAATATGTGTGTCGCAAAGAGTTGCACAACTACAACACAAGACAGAGTAATGGTCTATATCCAAGAAAAAATAGTTTTTACACAAATTAGAAACCTCACTACAGACAGACAGACAGACAACTAATGGAAATGGAAGACAACTTTTTTCATACTGTAGGGGTCATGAAACGTCAAGGAAAATAGGAAATCGCCCCATGAACTCAATTCCTCGCTTACGCTCGAGAAATAAAATCACTTGACTCTCATCATTGCAAACACAGTAAATCGTTAGGTTTTGAGTTTGAATTTAGAGCTAAAAGTAAAATTATACTGAAGGTAAACTGGGGTGTTGTTATTAATAATTATAAAGCAAAATATAAAAAAAAATCCACTGATATGTGCACAAAAAGTCATCACCTCTCCTTAGTAAATTTTAACTGATTTCAAGTATTTACAAAATTTATTTTTGTCAATAATTAGAAATAGAGATAATAGTGACTTATTGGGTTCCATTCTAATTTTTTTCACGAACATTATGCAATTTTTGAGCGAAATTCTGTACATAACGTACGATGTGTAAAAAGTAGTTAAATATATGTATATATAAACAAAACTTTTCAATTTTTGGAATTATTGATTTCTCAATTTGTCGATTCTTCAATTTTCATATTTTCTGAATTTTCGATTTTTTGATTTTAAAATTTTCAAATTTATTAATTTTTCAGTTTTCGGAGTTTATAAATTTTCGATTTCTCTATTTTTTGGTTGTTCCATTTCTGGATTTCCTGACTTCTCAATTTCTCGATTTTTCGTTTTTTCTGGTATGTTATTTTTCAATTTTTCGGTTTTTTGATTTTTCGATTTTTCAATTTTTAAATTTTAGAACTTTCAATTTTTCAATTTTACCATGTTTCAGTTTTCCAAATTTTCAATTGTAGAATTTTAAATTTTCCAATATTTCAATTTTTGGCACTCTTAAATTTTTTATTTTTCGATTTCTCAATTAATCAATTTTTGATTTCGACTTGATTGATTTTTTGCATTGCTCGATTTCTCGACTTTTCATGTTTTTAATTTTACAATTTTTTCCAGTTTTGGGATTCAATTCTTCGATTCCTCAGTTTTTCTATTTTTAAATTTTTTGATTTTTTTTATTTTTGGTGTCTAAATTTTGGATTTTATGATTTCTCAATTTCTGGATTAATCGATTTTTGGATTTTCCCATTTCTCGACTTCTCAATGATTCGATTTCTTAACTTCTCGATTTTTCGATTTTTCAATATTTCGGTTCTTCGATTTATGTATCTTGGAATTTTCAATATTCCAATTTATCGATTCTTAAATTTTTCAATATTTCAGTATTGGGATTTTTCAATTTTGATTCTTTAATTTTTTCAACTTCTCAATTTTTCGATTTCTCGATATGCTTTTTGGTTTTTCAACTTTTCGATTTTTAAATTCTAAATTTTCTGAATTTCCAATGTTTTAATTTTACAATGTTTCAATTGCTCAATTTTTCGATATTTTAATTTCTGATTTGTTGATACTTCGATTTCTTGATATATATTTCAAATTTTAAATATTTTAATTTTCCGATTTTTTAGATTTTAAATTTCTCAATTTTCTGTTTTTTCAGTCCTTCGATTTCTCTATTTTTCAGTTTTCGGCGTTTCGAAATTTTCGATTTCTCGATTTTTTGGTTTGCCCATTTCTCGAGTTCTCAATTTCGCGATTTTCAGATTTTTCAGTTTTTCAATTCTTCAACTTTTCGGTTTTTTGGCATTTCATTTTTAAATTTTCCAATTTTTCCATTTTTGGCGTTCTTAAATTTTTGATTTTTCCATTTCTCGATTTGTTGATTTTTCCCATTTCTCGGTTTTTCGATTTTTTATGTTTTTAATTTTTCAATTTTTTCCAGTTTTGGGACTAGATTTTTCAATTCTTCAGTTTTTCTATTTTTAAATTTTCCGATGTTTCAATTTTTCAATGTCTGGATTAATTGATTTTTTGATTTTCCCATTTTTCGATTTCTCGACTTTAATGATTCGATTTCTTAACTTCTCGATTTCTGGATTTTTTAGGTTTTTGGTTTTCTAGTTTTGGGCTTTTAAATTTTTCGATTATTCAATTTATTTTCGAATTTTCAATATTCCAATTTATTGACTCTTCAATTTTTCAATATTTCAGTTTTGGGATTTTTCAATTTCAATTAAAGTTTTTCGACTTTTCGATTTCTCGATTTTTTTACTTTTTTAAATTCTAGATTTTTTGAATTTCCAATTTTTTAATTTTTCGATGTTTCGATCGGTCGATTTTTAATTTTACGATATTTTAATTTTTGATTTATTCCATTCCATTTCTCGATATTTCAAATTTTAAATATTTTAATTTTCCGATTTTTTAAATCTTAAATTTCTCGATTTTTTGATTTTTCAGTCATTCGATTTTTCTATTTTTCATTTTTTTTGGCGTTTCGAAATTTTCGATATATCGATTTTTTGGTTTTCCCATTTCTCGATTTCATGACTTTTCAATTTTGCGATTTTCGGATTTTTCAGTTTTTGAACTCTTCAATTTTTGACTTTTTGACTTCGTTTTTTCAACTCTTCGATTTAATCAGTTTTTAAATTTTAGAACTTTCAATTTCTCAATTTTGCAATGTTTCGGTTTTACAAATTTTCAATTTTAGATTTTTAAATTATCAAATTTTTCAATTTTTGGTGTTTTAAATTTTCGATTTTTTGATTTTTCAATTTTTTTCCAGTTTTGAGATGCAGTTCTTCGATTCTTCAGTTTTTTATTTTTTAAATTTCCGATTTTTCAATTTTGGTGTCTCTAACTTTTCCATTTTTCGATTTCTCAATCTGGATTCTGCATTAATCGATTTTTTGATTTTCACATTTCTCGATTTCTCGACTTTCCCATGATTCGATTTCTTAACTTCTCGATTTCTAGATTTTTCGATTTTTCAGGTTTTTGATTTTTCAATTTTTCGATTCTTCAATTTATATTCAAATTTTTAATATTCCAATCGATTCTTCAATTTTTTCCCACTTTTCGATTTCTCGATTGTTTACTTTTTTGTTTTTTCAACTTTTCGAATTTTGAATTCTAGATTTTTTGAATTTACAATTTTTTAATTTTTGATTTGTTGATGCTTCGATTTCTCGATTTTACAATTTTTAAAATGTTTTAAATTTCCGATTTTTTAAATCTTAAATTTCTCGATTTTTTGATTTTTCAGTCATTCGATTTTTCTATTTTTCATTTTTTTTGGCGTTTCGAAATTTTCGATATATCGATTTTTTGGTTTTCCCATTTCTCGATTTCATGACTTTTCAATTTTGCGATTTTCGGATTTTTCAGTTTTTGAACTCTTCAATTTTTGACTTTTTGACTTCGTTTTTTCAACTCTTCGATTTAATCAGTTTTTAAATTTTAGAACTTTCAATTTCTCAATTTTGCAATGTTTCGGTTTTACAAATTTTCAATTTTAGATTTTTAAATTATCAAATTTTTCAATTTTTGGTGTTTTAAATTTTCGATTTTTTGATTTTTCAATTTTTTTCCAGTTTTGAGATGCAGTTCTTCGATTCTTCAGTTTTTTATTTTTTAAATTTCCGATTTTTCAATTTTGGTGTCTCTAACTTTTCCATTTTTCGATTTCTCAATCTGGATTCTGCATTAATCGATTTTTTGATTTTCACATTTCTCGATTTCTCGACTTTCCCATGATTCGATTTCTTAACTTCTCGATTTCTAGATTTTTCGATTTTTCAGGTTTTTGATTTTTCAATTTTTCGATTCTTCAATTTATATTCAAATTTTTAATATTCCAATCGATTCTTCAATTTTTTCCCACTTTTCGATTTCTCGATTGTTTACTTTTTTGTTTTTTCAACTTTTCGAATTTTGAATTCTAGATTTTTTGAATTTACAATTTTTTAATTTTTGATTTGTTGATGCTTCGATTTCTCGATTTTACAATTTTTAAAATGTTTTAAATTTCCGATTTTTTAAATTTTAAATTCTCGATTTTTCTATTTTTCAGGTTTGGTGTTTCGAAATTTTCGA